ATTTAGGTTAAACCAGTTTATGGAACTTCTGTCCTAGATCCCTTCCCAATTAAGTTAACAAGGCCTCCAGCACCTCAATGCTTTTGTAGCCCTGGGCTATGCTGTCTGCTCCAGCGGAGCAGGGTTAACCCCTCTTCCAGCTATCACAGAGGTAGGGCACTGCTCCCTGCCAGCACCTGTCAGCCTGGCAGGATGGGGGGAACAAGCAATGGGCCCCCAACCCCGCTAGCCCTTGTCCCCTTGCCAAGGGTTGGCATAAGCTCAGCCCTGGCCTCCGACCAGAGTCTGCCTAGTGCAAGAGAAAAGTCCCCACCAGGAGCTTTTTGCTCCCCTGTAATCCAGTGAGCTGGGCTGAGATTAGCACAGCCCCACTCCCTCCCCAGCTCCCTACCTGTGAAAGGTGGAGAGGGGAACACATGAGTCCAGCCTACCACTAGCTCCCACACAGGGGCTTTTCGCTCCCCCATAGCCTGGCAAGCCAGGCGGGGATCAGCTCAGCCCCCTCCTGGGAGGGAGCTCAGCCCACCCATTTCCAGCCTCCCTCCATCTTGCATTACAAGGTGTTCATTATGTTTGTGAAAGTAGAAGGCACCATCTCTTTGCATCTTTGTTCTCTAATACACAGCATGCACTTTTTGCCTACCCTCACTGGTGTTTCCCTTACTTTCATCCATATAATTTTCCTCCTCCAAAAAGCCTCTGCTAGCCAGTCCTTCACCCACTTAACATTAATCATCACAGTTGGTATGATATTTTATGTTGTTATACACATACACATACAAATAAAAACACAAACACACACACTATATAATTTTTATATAAAATCCCTGAAGTTGCTTTAAAAAACAGCCATTTATCTATTTGTGCACACACCCCCACTATCATCTTTGTACCTGGTTTCAATAACTATTTCACTTCCATTTATTGCAATATTTTCTATTCATGTACACTCTAATCAATTGCTCCATATGTCACCATCAGAGAAATGTATCCTGCCTTTGCATAAGGATGATCTCAGAATGAAAACTGGCCTTTCTGTCTCATTCTACTATGATTCCATATTATTTCCCACTTATTAATACCATTTCATCTATATGGCAATGATGTTAAAGAACATATTTCTTCTATTCTGTTAATGAGACACAAATTGCAAGCTGATACTCTTTTTCACTGAGCAAACCACTCTTTCCTTAGTACAGTTTAAAATAAAACACATATTTAGCACATTAAAATAGGTATGATTTCAACATAAAAACCTATCTACAGACATTCAAAGCACTGTGCCATTCACCAGAGTTCAAAAGACAAGTTCTAATGCTTCCAAATAAATTTGCAGTTCAGAGTTCATAGAAGGTCAGCGTATTAACAGACACTTATTTCAGTTTTGTAAAAATTTACAAAGCTTCATACTTGCTCACAAATTCTGCTCCCAACTCTACTTCATTTACTCACCATATTATGCATCAGTGAAGAAATCTGCCCAAATCACCTTCAAGTCAGACATAAAATTGTCAAGTGGTTCAGCCACTTAAAATATGTGCTATCCAGGTCTCTTTGGAGCCCTTTTGGGGACAGTAAATAGTACTCTACAAAAATTTAGAGGCTCTGCTGACAGCTAAGCTGACCCATACTAGGCAGATGCTGTGGCACGGGTGCGTTATATTGGTGGATTAAATTGAGCTGGCTAGAGAGCACTGAAGGCTGCCTTAGGGGCTTCCACAGTGGCAAAATATACTAAACAGGCCACATGAATGAAGTCTACTCTATATACTTAAATGAAAACCTAGAGAAACAGCATCACTGGGATAGCCCTCCCTCTGCTAACAAGGCCCCTTCTTTTTCAGGGGAAGCCACCGCGAAGGAGGATAGGCAGCGTTTCATTCTGATCCGCTTGATAATTTTAATTTTTTCAGTGGATAAGGCAGCTTCTACTCCAGCACTCCCTATAAAAGTTCTCCAAAGGACAGATATTGAACAGCACGATCAGTGGCCACATTAGCTATGCTCCTCCCTGAACAGGTGCCACCTGCTTTAAACAGCACTAATCCCTCAGAGAAAGGCAACAGGTAGACCACAAAGCTGCCAGGACTTCTGCTATTCAGGATCTATCCTAGGATTCTGGTACGAGTAAACTTCAGGCGACTACAATACATGATATGCAAAATATACAGGGAAAGCATTCAAAATACTGTGTTATCACACGTCCCTCATTATGGGCAGAAAAAGTTATACAGGGGTTCCCAAAAGGGATCCAATTTATCAATTACATGTCACTAGCTACTCTAGAAAACTACAGAATTTGTTTCATAAGAGCCAACATCTACTTTATGGAGCTGTTACTGTACTAGCCTGGCTCATTTTGATATATACTGATTTACTGTGTGTTGGAAGCCTTGCAAGTAGCTGGGAGTTCCTGGCCTCAGATGTCTGCTTCAGAAAACAAAAGAGCAAGGACAGTGAACATCCTTGTGCTTCCGTATGTTCACTTGCTGCAGAACATTTGGGCAAGCTTTTGGATTTCTCAGAACCAAAGCAGAGGCCTTTTCTCCACTTCATGTGCAAACACAGTTGCATGCATTTGCCCTGAAAATAACTACACAGTACCTGATATTCAAGGAATGGTTTATTTTCTAAAACTGTAATTCAGTTACTTTGGCTTTCACTGGATTGAAAGCTGCATTCACACCATTTCATCCTGCACATCACACTGCTCTGCTTAGCAGAGTATTAGCATTCCAACCATCCAAAATCATGCAAGTTGGGATCCAATATATTCATAATTTTTAAGAGGCCTGATAAAATAAATTAGGGTATGATCCACCTTTTAATATTTTAGCTTTTAGGATTCAGTTTTCAGCTTCTCTCCATAATTGTGAGGCCTAGAAATATAGCTTTTTTTCAAATGAAAGTTAATCTATTCACTTGATTCTAGAAGATGAAATTATCAAAGAAAAAACACATACACAAACCCCACTAAATGTTGTTAGTCATGATTCAGCTGCATGAGTTGGTAACCAGATTAGCACAAATGGCTTGAATGAGGCAACTGAAAGCCTTAAAACTATTTCTTTTCCACCCAGCTTCCCAAAAGCTGACCATGATGGTTCTAAGATCTACTTTCTGCGGCTAAAAAGATTCCTTTAGTCCTGGAGTCATATTATTCTGATTGCTTCATATTATACAAGTCTCCAAGCTTCTGCACGGGCACAACATTGTTCTTTCCAAGTGATCTAAGATGTGGGGACCCAGATAGGTCCTGAGTGAAATTAGCTGGTGTTAGGCATGCAGGAGTTTGAAAATCCTACCAGGTGCCTATTTGCAGCTTTACCTAAATACCTTTAAAAACCTGGCCTGTACAGATGATCCTGCTCTACTGTAGCAAACACCACCAAGCACCTTGGCCATCTCAACTGCAATTTTGTTTTTAATTTTTAATTTTAGAGGGCAGCTACCTTATGTCAACAGATGGGAAAAATACACCATTGTTCCTGACCAGTGCCTTGGGAATTAAATAACAGTTACAAAAAAACAAACCGGGGTTTGGCATGTTAACTCCTAGCTGGGCCCTAAAAGTATCTCTAAAAGAACTAAAACCCTCATGTGTGCGTGGATATGCCAGTCTTAAAGAAGAAATTAACATCACAAATATAAAGCAGAAATATATGCAGGGTAAAAAGTCAGCCGTTACAAAAATTAACTGGTTTCCAAATTGGCTTAAGGAAGCACAGTTTTTGTGCTTGGGTTTAATAATTTATACCTAAACGAATAATTTAGGTTTCCCCCCTTTTTACTCAGCATGTCATAGTGTGTTATTTCATTTCAAATCACAAGGATATTAGACTGCTTTCCCTCTGAAATAAACTGACTGTAAGATAAGTTGCTACTATGTGAGGCAACATGTAAACAGGTTACACTTAACAGTTCAAATCCAATTAAACCAGACTGGCAGGCAGTAAGAAAGCCTTATCTAAAGTCTTTCAAGATCTTATCCATTCTCTTGTGGATACCACATCATAGGGTATATACGTCTGTATTGACGTATACACTATTTTACGTTATAACCTGTTTATTTTATGACTTGGCCATAAAGCCTTATGTAACACATCCCTGCTTAATATGGAGCAGCATGTACATTTGCTCTGGTAATCTAAGCAGTTTTCTTTCCAAGTGGTTATTCTGTCCCTCCAGGGTTTCTGTTTAGCCACTGTAGAAAAAAGGTACCAGGGCTAAAAAGAACCACCACCACCACCAGTACCTAAATAAAGCTTGTAGGCACTAATCATTACCATTCCCTTTCTTAGGCTTAGTGCTATGACTACACTAACACGGGCTTTAGGATTCACAGTGAATCATTTTGTCACGATTGCCATAGACTTGTCATTGTAAATGAGGGGGAAATAATTTCTTTAAAAAAAAACAACACACACCTCAGCCTCTTTTGGACTCATTTTAACGCTGCATTTTACCATTGGTACTAAGGGATTATATTACAGCAAACACTCGCGCTGCTTCTTTTCTTTGTTAAGATAATCAAATGCATCTGCACTGATAATTTAGCCAGAGAGCACATATAACACAGATGGCAGCTCAGGAACTTCCGCTCCAACTCGATCAAACAAACATTTAGTATTATATAATTAACATTTTTTCTGTTACGCTTATGAATGTAACATGTAAATTATCTGAAACAGCTTTCGGCATACGTAAAACTGTCTTCCATGAAGCATTTACACACCCCATGAGAGCAGAAGTGTAGCTTGTAATCTATACATTATGGTACACAAAATGCTTTTAAGCCTTTCATGAAATCCCTAAATTATGCTGCTTGACAATAAATTATGTAATGGAGGATTATTTCAGGTGACTCCCAAAACTGTATACAATGCATCACAAGGCAGTCAAGCTTCAACCCAGAAACAAAGCCTGATTTTTGCTCCCTGCTCTCTCCATATCTTATTAGGCTGTTCAGGAAAAAAAATATTATCTATGAAAATACTTACCGCCTCTGAGTCTTCAAATCCATGCAGGTACAAATTGTCGTACATGGAGGTCTAATAATCCAAAGCACCTCTCTCAATGCAAAACTGAAATTGCTACAAAGCTACAGCTAGGGTTAAAATGTAGAGAAGGCCTGTACAGAGGAACTGAGCCTGCCCTGTCAATTTTCTGTGGATTCCCCAGCCAAGAAGCTATTCATTCACATCATAGAGGGGAAGGTTATCCCTAGAGGCAGCCCAGACCTGGCATTTTATCTGCCTTCCAAATACAGAGCATAAAAGCAAACCGTTCCCCAACCAAGGACTGATGACAGAGCTAGAAAAGAGCTTCGTGATTGGCTGAGCTGCCCTGCTTCAGTCAGCTGGAAGAGCATTCTCTGATAGTGGATGACGAGATGTAGGCTTATACCTTCGCAATGAGCTCTTTCCCGATTATTTCCTCTCTTAAACACGTAAATAGAATCTGATCCCAGCTTTTTAAAAGAGTGTTTATACAGCAAGGGCTGTTAGCATTTACTACCTTGCCTATTTTTAAAAAAAAATATTTACAAATTATGTCCCAGAGATGCTTGGAAGATTTTTAATTATAATCAACAAAATGTAACATAGAAGAATATACTATATTACAAGAAGCATCTGCATTTAACAAAGTGCAATTTAAATTTTTGAAAGGGACAATTAGGCATTTCACACAACAGCAGAGGGAAAGGGTGAAAGAAACCCCAAACAGATGGGGAGATTTTTTTTGTTCATGCACTATTTTTTTTAAATATCCTTAAAAAACCCCCAAAAACCAAACTTAATTTGTGAGACAACATATACCACCTTCTTAAGCACCAGTAGCCTCATACGAAATAGAAAAGAAGAAAGTCAGATCATATGACCGTAGGAAAGTAGGGCTGAAAGGGACCTTGTGAGGCCATCTAATCCAGCCCCCTACTCAAGGCAGGATCATCCCTGACTAAACAACAAGGACAGGAACCAAAACCATGTGTGCAGAGCACAATGCACTGACTAGCAGTCCCGTCACCTTAACCACTTGTCCACACCCACTTTTAACTTGAGCACTAATATTATTTTTATAATGAGCAACAAGTTTATCCAGATTTTTCTTTAAAAGCAAGTATCTTTCAGTGGAAATCCACAAATGGATTTTAATCTAGCACTTTCTTTTTCATTCCAGACAAAGTTGTCAGTAATATGTTTATACAGTAATTACATTTCTTTATTACAGTGTCTCTTGGTCATAATCTTGTACTATCTTAAAACAAGTTCATACAGAAAAAGGTTGGATAGGGCCAAATTGTGACCCTCGGACCCACATTGACGAATAATGATTCACAAGAATATAGTTCTGTGTAAATTGAGTCACGAGGGGGCTGGTCAATGGGATGATCTGTATGAGTAACTGTTCCCCAACAGCGCTGGGATTTCTCAACTAAAGGCTACATCCCAACCAGCAGGGGCATGCAATTGCAACTGCACAAATTTGTGCTGCTGCAGTGTGTCCCAGGGCACGCCCCTTCACATGCACTTTGCTGCGGGACACACACTACCCTTGCCCAGCTCCTCCTGGCATGCTGCAGCAGCCGGGGCACAAATGGAGCAGTAGAGATGCTCTGGCTGGCAGCCAGAGAGTCTCACAGAAGAACCAAGCCTCCATATGTTCCAGCGCGCAGTTTTCCCTTGCACCAAGCTGCTTTTTTTTCTTGGGGTGTTTTTTTGCTACTGAAAAATCCCAGTAGCAAATTTTGCCCCCATACTGCACATTTGCAGCGTGGGGCTCATTTTAATGTTCCACGCATGCGGTTTGTGGCTCCAATAAGAGGTTTGCAGCGCCACAAACTCTGCATGCGGTGACATGCCCTATGTCTGCACATTAATGGGCACTGTAAGTTTGACATGAAAATAATTCAGCGAGCAGTAAAACAGCGCAGCTCTCCCAGCAAGGCCTTCCCACCTTCTGCATATGCTACATCCACAGTGAATAAAAATCTATTTAATGTATTACCTGACTTTCAAGCTAGGGCCAATTGTTGTCCGAAGTTTGTCCTCTTTGTCCAAATACTCTAAGGCAAATTCCTTGAAGAGAAAACCACAATGACACCCTTTTGCAATTAACCCTTCCACAAACTTCTTTGTACATAAAATGATCACACACTCATGTAATAATTTATCTGTACTATGTTTAGATAGTTAGTCAGTGCCCATAACCCAGACTCCCTTCCAAATTCCCTCTTTTGTGTGACTGGGTATTATTGATATCTCTAACCCAGGGCCCCAGCTCCTGAAATCATACAAGCAAATAAGACTCACAATTTCATTTTTAGAAGTTTCTAGCCCTTCTGGGTGCAAAAGAAAAAAAAAATTGAAAATCTGACCCGTGTGTAGTGCCTGTCTGAGTCTGCAGAGAGCCGGAAACAAGAGCACTATGAAGTTGTGAACTGCCAAAAGTATCTTAACTCTGAAACCTTCCCACCATTTCAAAGCGGAGGGCAAAGCCATGGTGCAGAGGCGGAAAGGAGAGACCCTATGCAAAGGTGTAGAAAGACTGGGCTTCTGCTCCACTGCTACTAAACCTAAGAGAGCTGAGCTGCTACATTTGGGGAGCCTTCTCCAGTGCTTATGTTTATAAGGGAATTTGACCCAATATGTAAAAAGTTCACTTGGTTCAGAGATGCAAATTATACCTTGAGATGCTGGGATTAGTGAGAGATTTTCTTGATAAACTAGCATTTCAGCACATCTAACCCCCACTTTGAAGCATATGACAACTAGACATGGGAAACAGGGTATAAACAATATGCATATGCAGGCAAAAAGAGAATCATAGAATCATATAGGGCTTGAAGAGACCTCAGGAAATCATCTAGTCCAAGCCCTTGCTCAAAGCAGAACCAGCCCCAACTGGATCATCCCAGACAAAGCTCTGTCTAGCCAAGTCTTGAAAACCTCCAAGGATGGAGAATCCACCACCTCTATGGGTAACCTGCTACAGTGTTTTACTACCCTCCTAGTGAGAAAATTCTTCCAAGTATCTAACCTAACCTTCCCTTACTGCAACTTGAGACCATTGCTCCTTGTTCTGTCATCTGCCACCACTGAGAACAGTCTAGCTCCATCCTCTTTCAAACCATACTTCAGGTAGTCAGTGGCTACTATTAAATCCCCTTCCGGTCTTCTCTTCTCTAGACTAAATAAGTCCAGCTCCCTCAGCCTCTCCTCGGAAGTCCTGTCCCCCAGCCCCTGAACCACTTTCACTGCCCTCTGCTGGACTTTCACCAACTTGCCCACATCCTTTCTGTAGTGGGGAGCCCAAAACTGGACACAGAACTACAGATGTGGCCTCACCAGTGCTGAATGGAGAGGAATAATCACTTCCCTTGAGCAACTAGGAACGCTCCTACCAATGCAGCCCAGCATGTCATTAGCCTTCTTGGCAACAAGGGCAACCTGCTGGCTCACATTCAGCTCCTTGTCCACTGCAACCCCCAGGTCCTTCTCTGCAGAGCTGCCGCCCAGCCAGTCAGCTCCCAGCCTGTACCAGTGCATGGGCTTGTGCTGTCCTAAGTGCAGGACTTTACACTTGTCCTTGTTGAATCATAAGATTTCTTTTGGCCCACTCCTCCAGTTTTCTAGGTCATTTTGAATCCTAGCCCTGCCTTCCAGCGTATCTACTACTCCCCACAACTTGGTATCATGTGCAAGAAGAAAGGAAAATGAGAGGAGGGAAGAGAAAGCAAATATCCAACAGACTGTATAACTTATTGGTCAGGCAATGACCCAAAGCTTGACAAGCAGCTGAATTATCCAGGAACATGCCTACAGTGAAATCAGGGCAGTGAAGTGTAGCAGCTAAGTATGCAAAAAATACATTTTCTAAAACTGCTCATCTCTTCAAAAAAATGTGTGTCTTTTTATTTCTATTGGTACTTAGGTCCTGAACTAAAATAACAAAGAAACATATGTCTACATTCTACACTGTAATGGGAACTATGTAATGTAACATTTAGGAACAAAACTTAGTGGGTCAGATTTTCCTCTTCTGTTAGCTTAATCCAGGTGAGCTCCATCGTTCCCTGTGTAGATCCAATTAAAAATAAATAAATAAATAAATAAATAAATCAAGAACCAGGTAGCAAGACGCTCTAATGCAATACAAATAACTGCAATATCAAGTCAGATGTGTGCCCATGTACCTTTCTACTGCAGCACAAAATAGGTCCCATGAGGTCAAGGCACAGATAGTGAAGGAATGCTGAAATCTCTGTATAAATACTGAAAGTACTTGCAGCACAAGGAAACAGCAAAAGGACCTGGAGCTTGCTGAACTACAGGAAAATTCCTTAATTTTCTCAGCCTGGCTAGACAAAATAATGCTTTAGTTTCTTGTAGGGTGACCATATTTCCAGTACCAAAAAAGAGGACACTTGTGGGTGAGAGGAGGAGGGGTAGCGGAGGGGGAAGGGGAAGGAGAGGGCAGTGGGGTATATGATGGGGAGTGGGGAGAAGCGTTATGTCCGTGCCCTGCCTCTGCCCCTCATTCTCAAGTCCCTGCACCCCCAGCACCACCGGTGCCCCTCACACCCAAACCACAGCCCCCATTTCCACCCTACTCTACCCCCCACCCACCACCCAATAAAATCAATAGTGTTTTAAAAACTGCCTAGTTTAGGGCCGTCTAACTTCTGAGTGCAGCTGGTGGGGGAGGAGGGAGAGGCAGCAGCAGCAGACGATGGAAGGAGGTGATGAGGCCCAGGGGGAAGCAATGCCTGGGTTTATGGGGGGGAAGTGCAGGGAGTTGAAGTGGGGACACGAGCCACAAATTAACCATTTGTTGACCACATGCAGCCCTCAGACAGCCAGTTGAGTAGCCCTGGCCTAGTTAATTGAGAAATTCTCTAGGATGCACGTTCTGCCTGGACAGGTGTACACAACATTCAGCAACAGCTAAATAGCCAAGCACCCAATTCAGCTAACGTATGTATTCTGTTTAAGAAGCACTGAATCCTGTGCCAGGCTGAGATCTCCCAAAACAGCAGGTTCTGCAACCTGCACGGATACTTGGTGGACTTGTACTTATCTCTGAATTTAAAAAGAACGCCCTAAATTTGCTGGAAGTTATTTCTTTTCTGCCATAAATAACACAATCATCCATTTCCTATATTAACTGGCAGTGATTAAAAGTAAATAAAAAGTAAACATTTACACTAGAAAAGTCAGTCTGTTTGTTCCTTTTTGTGTGTGGGGGGGGTCTGTTTTTGTTTGGGTTTTTTTTCACA